CTTCCCCTTTCTTTTCCTTTTCTCTTCCCCTTTCTTTTCCTTTCCTCTTCCCCTTTCTTTTCCTTTCCTCTTCCCCTTTCTTTTCCTTTTCTCTTCCCCTTTCTTTTCCTTTTCTCTTCCCCTTTCTTTTCCTTTCCTCTTCCCCTTTCTTTTCCTTTTCTCTTCCCCTTTCTTTTCCTTTTCTCTTCCCCTTTCTTTTCCTTTTCTCTTCCCCTTTCTTTTCCTTTTCTCTTCCCCTTTCTTTTCCTTTCCTCTTCCCCTTTCTTTTCCTTTCCTTTCCTCTTCCCCTTTCCTTTCCTCTTCCCTTTCTTTTCCTTTCCTCTTTTCTTTTCCTCTTTTCCTTTCTTTTCTTTTCCTTTCCTTTCCTCTTCCCCTTTCCTTTCCTCTTCCCCTTTCCTTTCCTCTTTTCTTTTCCTCTTTTCCTTCTTTTCTTTTCCTTTCTTTTCTCTTTCTTTTCCTTTCCTTTCTTTTCCTTTCCTTTTTTTCTTTTTCCAGTTCCATTTTATGAGATCATTTATTTGGGGCGTGTTTAAGGGCTGGGCAGGGTAAGGGTTGAGTGGGGCAACTGGTGGCCAGTAACTCTTAAGTCCTGGCTAGTAGCTCAGGACTTGAAATTTTGAGCCCTTTCAAACTCATTATTCTTGTTACCTACTCTTTTGAACAAGTCTGATGAGTTGTTACTAAAGAATTGTTTCTCTTGCATTATTATACTATACTAGTGAAATATGTCTGAACCCAGAGTGTCAGAGGTGTCGGGGGGCTTGCTAGGTCAGGACAACCTCTGGGAGCAAGCATTATCAAGCGGCCCCTGTGCGGTTAGCACTACATTCATAATTTGTTTTCCATTAAATGGAGGCTCCTTGTTTTTGAACAATTTTTTAAAGTGGGTGGCCTTCCCTACTTCTTAGAATTCTGGGACTTTCATTTCTGTATTAAGGACAGGTATAGTCATAGGCAAGATGAGCCCAGAAAGCAGCATGAGTTCAGGAGGATTGGGGGAAGTAGGTCCTGTGGCTTGTGATTAGTGGGAATTGGCAACACAGTGGCATGCAGAAACTTGACACAGGAACAAACCGGGTGCTGGATGCACATTTTTTAACATGCCACAAAACGGAGACTCCCCTCAGAAACTGGGAAAGGATTCAGAGCTGAAAATCCACATTGTAGAATGTAGAAAAAATATATAAAGTCAAGTGAATTAAAAGTATATTGAACATTGTCTTACAGCTCTTCACCTCATGCCATTAGAATACAATGCTGTTTACAATAGCAATCATTCAGGTGTTTGTAAGTGCATTACCTCATTGTAACCAATCAGAATTTAGTGCTGAAGTCATGTCTGCACAAGATGAATTTTGATTAATTGGTATAGTTTAGTCCTTAAAGGGTAACTCCACTTTCACAGAAAAAACATACAGTTGGTGTACAGAACTTCACCAGAAAAGTCATTTCCTGCTTGTGTGATTGGCTCACTGATTTTCCAAGATATTTGCACTAAGCTACAAGTCAAATTGTAGGCATCCTCTGTAATAGGAATTATAAAGGGTGGCAAATCATGTAACTTTCCTCATTAGAACAAGGGAATCAGCTGATTAGGATCAACACAGACACTCCCATTCAGAAATCAGCCTCCCAGGGGCATAGTAGAATATACACCACTTTCTTAGGAACAGAAACAGGTAGAATACTGCTACAAGGATTGTTAAAATCCATACAATGTGCATAGGTCTCCCAAAGGTGATTTTCGCAACAAAAGTGGAGCTACCCTTTAACCTATTTACAACACATATATGCAACATCAAGGAAGTAGGCTTAAATTCATATATTGTGTTTATACTGGAAGTGACCCCCAGCACTGAGACCCAGCTGTCACTGACAGCTCCTGGTCTTGTACTAATGATTAGGTGTCACCCTTCCATGTGCTCCTTGCTGCAAAGACCATTTATAGGTTGGGTTGGTTGCCATTCGTTTGCACAATTGGTGAGGAAACGTACTGGATACCTTCACTACCATTGTGCTATTGCTATGGGCCAGTGCGTCCCTATACCTTTAAGGAGGGGTGGGCTCCCTCCAGGCATACCTGCCCTTAATCTATCCATTATTATATTTGTGGTCCAACTCAGAAGACTCTCAAAATTATAGAGTTAGGACTGCAGTACACTGGGGTGCAGTGATGTGGCCGCTGTAGAATGCACATATATTTGCAAATTTGTGCAAATGTAACCTCTTGGTTTTAACATGAGCTGTTAGCAAGGTCAATTTGGTATGTTACAGTCAGGCTGGAAAGTGAGCTGAGATTCTTTGTTGTTTTTTTGACATGTGTCGCCCTTTCATGTGCTTCTTGCTGCAAAGGCCAGTTATAGGTTGCGGTGGTTGCCATTTGCTTGTACAGGACCTGCTACCGATCATATGACCACTGTAATTAGCCAAAAATTATTTGTTTACTATTTTGGGCCTGTTTTCTATTGATAATAAAACAAAATCAGGGGATATCCATTAACATTTACCACCAAATAAAAGATCATTCTATCCAGAACAAAGCAATCATTCACCTGGATACACTAAGTAATTGAAATGATATTTAGTAACTAATGGTTTACTAACACGCCAAAGTTGCAAAATTGGGTTCAGACATTAAAGTGTTACTAAACCCACAAAAGTAAAATTAGTCTGTATATGCAGTAAAGCATTCTTGTTATACTCACTGGAATCTAAAGAGTTAATTTTCCACATTGTTTAAAAAGGCTGTTTGATCCTGTCTTTGTTGATCCTCCCCTTTTTCTGCTGTCCCTAATCTACTGCTGATAGTAAAGAACTCTCACATGTTCAGTTTAGTGTGTATTGCTAGAGGTTTTTTTTTTTTTCCTTTAGGAGGGTGCATGTGATCGGCACAAGGCCAATCAACACTGTCCAGAGGGTCAGGGGTTATGCAGCCTCATAGGACAGTCAGAGGAGAATCAAAACTCCATCTACAAGATTAACCAGTGCATGGCAGGACACTAATAGAAGTCACAAGACTGCTACAGTATATACTGCTGATGAGAAAAGGTATTTAGCAGTTTATAGTTACTAAAATAATTGCATTTCCGTTTTCTGTGTACTGTGCGAAACCATATATAGTGAATGCAAGGTCATGGATTTAGTAACACGTTAAGATGTTTTGACTTGGCCATGAATGGGGTTAAGAAATCTGTCTAATGTGGTTCTATAGGCTTATTTCTTTTTTTTTTTAAGAAAAAAATAACAAACATGTCTATAATTACCTGCTGTGAGACTGCATCCTCCTCTCAGGTTCCCAGCCAGCGCTCCTGGCCCCTCCTTCCTGTCGGGTGCCCCCACAGCAAGCAGCTTGCTATGGGGGCTCCTGCTGCTCCGTGTGTCCATTCACACAGGGAGAAGTGGCTCGGCCCCCACTCACTCTTCTCATTGGATCACTGACTGTCTCAGCCAATGAGGAGAGTGAGTCCAGGGATAGCTGAAACTCCAGTGCACATCACTGGATCAAGATGAGGCTTAGGTGAGTATTAGGGGGGCTGGGGGGGGGGGGGTGCTGCACACTTCTGTTTCCAAAACTGAAGGTCTTAACACATTCCATCTTCAAAATGTTCTCACATTAATCTCATAAAAAACAAACAAAAGAGTGGGGAAACAAATGCAATTTATGCTGCCTATATCTATTTAATAGCAAACTTTGATTAGAGATGAGCGAATCGAACCAGGCGAACCGGAATTCGAGTCGAATTTCAGGAAATATTCGATTCGCGGCGAAACCGAAATTTTGCCTACTTCGGGTGTGCGCGAATCGAACATTTCCCGATCAGCCGGCAAAAGTGTCCCTGCAGTGAGCTCCGCTATTTCTGACAGTTCTCTGACAGAAGGAACACATGTTTAGAGCGGTTGAAACATTGTATATCTATTAGTTTACATTTAGGATACAGATGTTTCAACCACTGTTCATGTGAAGAAGCTGTGACAGTTCTCTCACAGCTTCTTCACATGTACAGCGGTTGAAACATCTGTATCCTAAATGGAAACTAATAGATACAATTTGTATCTATTAGTTTTCCATTTAGGATACAGATGTTTCAACCGCTGTACGTACATGTGAAGAAGCTGTGAGAGAACTGTCAGAATTTTTGCCTGTTTGGAATTAATCTTATTTTCATCCTACTTCTTCTTTCTTCTTCTTCTTCTTTATCCTCATCCTCAGAAGAAGAAGAAGAGGATGAAGAAGAAGAAGAAGAGAAGAAGAAGAAGTAGGATGAAAATAAAATAAGAATAATTCCAAGCCGGCAAAAAGTGTATGTGCAGAGTTCCTCTATTCTGCAGATACACTTAGAGGAGCTCTGAGACATACACTTTTTGCCTGCACATACACTTTTTGCCGGCTTGGAATTATTCTTATTTTCATCCTACTTCTTCTTCTTCTTCTTCTTCTTCTTCTTCTTCATCCTCATCCTCATGAAGAAGAAGAAGAAGTAGGATGAAAATAAGAATAATTCCAAGCCGGCAAAAAGTGTATGTGCAGAGCTCCTCTAAGTGTATCTGCAGAGCTCCTCTAAGTGTATCTGCAGAATAGAGGAACTCTGCACATACACTTTTTGCCGGAAACCGCCGCAGCATTCCCTCCATACAGCGGTTGAAAACAGCTGTATGGAGTGAATGTCCCAGAACTGTCAGAAATAGACTATTTATGACAGTTCTGGGACATTCACTCCATACAGCGGTTGAAACATTGTATCTATTTTTTTCCATAAATGACATTCTGCAGATACACTTTTCGGAGCGCTGCAGATACACTTTTTGCCAGGCTTGGAAATTATTCTTTATTTTCATCCTACTTCTTCTTTTTCTTCTTATGAGGATGAGGATGAAGAAGAAGAAGTAGGATGATGACTAAATAGATTAATTCCAAGCCGGCATCCAAAAGTGTATCTGCAGCGCTCCTCTATGTGTATTTGCAGAATGTCATTTATGGAAAAAATAGATACAATGTTTCAACCGCTGTATGGAAGGACAGTCCCAGAACTGTCATAATAGTCTATTTCTGACAGTTCTGGGACATTCACTCCATACAGCTGTTTCAACCGTTGTATGGAGGGAATGTCATAGAACTGTCAGAAATAGACTATTAATGACAGTTCTGGGACTGTCCTTCCATACAGCGGTTGAAACATTGTATGTATTTGTTTCCATAAATGGATCCATTTATGGAAACAAATACATACAATGTTTCAACCGCTTGCTGTATGGAAGGACAGTCCCCAGAACTGTCATTAATAGTCTATTTCTGACAGTTCCATGACATTCCCTCCATACAGCGGTTGAAACAGCTGTATGGAGTGAATGTCCCAGAACTGTCAGAAATTAGACTATTTCTGACAGTTCTGGGACATTCACTCCATACAGCTGTTTCAACCGCTGTATGGAGGGAATGTCATGGAACTGTCAGAAATAGACTATTAATGACAGTTCTGGGACTGTCCTTCCATACAGCGGTTGAAACATTGTATGTATTTGTTTCCATAAATGGATCCCATTTATGGAAACAAATACATACAATGTTTCAACCGCTGTATGGAAGGACAGTCCCAGAACTGTCAGAAATAGTCTATTTCTGACAGTTCTGGGACATTCACTCCATACAGCTGTTTCAACCGCTGTATGGAGGGGGAATGTCATGGAACTGTCAGAAATAGACTATTAATAATGACAGTTCTGGGACTGTCCTTCCATAACAGCGGTTGAAACATTGTATGTATTTGTTTCCATAAATGGATCCATTTATGGAAAACAAATACATTACAATGTTTCAACCGCTGTATGGAAGGACAGTCCCAGAACTGTCAGAAATAGTCTATTTCTGACAGTTCTGGGACATTCACTCCATACAGCTGTTTCAAACCGCTGTATGGAGGGAATGTCATAGAACTGTCAGAAAATAAGACTAAACTGACAGTTCTTTGACAGTTCTGTCCTTCCATACAGCGGTTGAAACATTGTATCTATTTGTTTCCATAAATGGATCCATTTATGGAAACAAATAGATACAATGTTTCAAACACCGCTGTATGGAAGGACAGTTCCCAGAACTGTCATTAATAGTCTATTTCTGACAGTTCTATGACATTCCCGTCCTCCATACAGCGGTTGAAACAGCTGTATGGAGTGAATGTCCCAGAACTGTCAGAAATAGACTATTTATGACAGTTCTGGGACACATTCACGCTCCATACAGCGGTTGAAACATTGTATCTATTTTTTTTCCATAAATGACATTCTGCAGATACACTTAGAGGAGCGCTGCAGATACACTTTTTGCCGGCTTGGAATTATTCTTATTTTCATCCTACTTCTTCTTTTTCTCTTCTTATGAGGATGAGGATGAGATGAGAAGAAGAAGTAGGATGAAAATAAGATTAATTCCAAGCCGGCAAAAAGTGTATTCTGCAGCGCTCCTCTAAGTGTATTTGCTAGAATGTCATTTATGGAAAAAAATACATACACATGTTTCAACCGCTGATGGAAGGACAGTCCCAGAACTGTCAGAAATAGTCTATTTCTGACAGTTTCTGGGGACATTCACTCCATACAGCTGTTTCAACCGCTGTATGGAGGGAATGTCATAGAACTGTCAGAAATAGACTATTAATGACAGTTCTGGGACTGTCCTTCCATACAGCGGTTGAAACATTGTATCTATTTGTTTCCATAAATGACATTCTGCAAATACACTTAGAGGAGCACTGCAGATACACTTTTTGCCGGCTTGGAATTAATCTTATTTTCATCCTACTTCTTCTTCTTCATCCTCATCCTCATCCTCATAAGAAGAAAAAGAAGAAGTAGGATGAAAATAAGAATAATTCCAAGCCGGCAAAAAGTGTATCTGCAGCGCTCCTCTAAGTGTATCTGCAGAATGTCATTTATGGAAAAAAATAGATACAATGTTTCAACCGCTGTATGGAGTGAATGTCCCAGAACTGTCATAAATAGTCTATTTCTGACAGTTGGACATTCACTCCATACAGCTGTTTCAACCGCTGTATGGAGGGAATGTCATGGAACTGTCAGAAATAGATATTAATGACAGTTCTGGGACTCTGACAGTTCCATGACATTCCCTCCATACAGCGGTTGTTGAAACAGCTGTATGGAGTGAATGTCCCAGAACTGTCAGAAATAGACTATTTCTGACAGTTCTGGGACAATTCACTCCATACAGCTGTTTCAAACCGCTGTATGGAGGGAATGTCATGGAACTGTCAGAAATAGACTATTAATGACAGTTCTGGGACATTCACTCCATACAGCTGTTTCAACCGCTGTATGAAGGGAATGTCATGGAACTGTCAGAGTCCCAGAACTGTCATTAATAGTCTATTTCTGACAGTTCCATGACATTCCCTCCATACAGCGGTTGAAACAGCTGTATGGAGTGAATGTCCCAGAACTGTCAGAAATAGACTATTTCTGACAGTTCATGACATTCCCTCCATACAGCGGTTGAAACAGCTGTATGGAGTGAATGTCCCAGAACTGTCAGAAATAGACAGAAACTGTCACAGTCTGTCCTTCTTCTCATCCTCCTCTTCTCCTTCCTTCTTCTCATCCTTCCCTTCTTCTCATCCTTCTTCTCATCCTTCTTCTCATCCTTCTTCTCATCCTTCTCCTTCTTCTCATCCTTCTCCTTCTTCTCATCCTTCTCCTTCTTCTCCATCCTTCTCTCATCCTTCTCCTTCTCTCCTTCTCCTTCTCCTTCTTCTCATCCTTCTCCTTCTCATTCTTCTCTCCTTCTCCTTCTTCTCATCCTTCTCCTTCTCCTTCTTCTCATCCTTCTCCTTCTCCTTCTTCTCATCCTTCTCCTTCTCCTTCATCCTCTCTCTCCTTCTCCTTCTTCTCATCCTTCTTCTCATCTTCTCTTCCTTCTCTTCTCATCCTTCTCCTTCTCCTTCTTCTCATCCTTCTTCTTCTCCTTCTTCTCATCCTTCTCCTTCTCCATCTTCTCATCCTTCTCCTTTCCTTCTTCTCATCCTTCTCCTTCTGCTTCTCCTTCTCCTTCTTCTCATCCTTCCTCCTTCTTCTCATCCTTCTCCTTCTTCTCATCCTTCTCCTTCTCCTTCTTCTCATCCTTCTCCTTCTTCTCATCCTTCTCCTTCTTCTCATCCTTCTCCTTCTTCTCATCCTTCTCCTTCTCCTCATCCTTCTCCTTCTTCTCATCTCTCTCCTTCTCCTTCTTCTCATCCTTCTCCTTCTTCTCTTCCATCCTTCTCCTTCTCCATCTTCTCATCCTTCTCCTTCTCCTTCTTCTCATCCTTCTCCTTCTTCTCTCATCCTTCTCCTTCTCCTTCTTCTCATCCTTCTCCTTCTTCTCATCCTTCTCCTTCTCCTTCTCTCTCATTCTTCTCCTTCTTCTCTCTCCTTCTCATCCTTCTCCTTCTTCTCATCCTTCTCCTTCTCCTTCTTCTCATCCTTCTCCTTCTCCTTCTCTTCTCATCCTTCTCCTTCTCCTTCTTCTCATCCTTCTCCTTCTCCTTCTCCTTCTCTTTCCTCATCTCCAAGGGCATTTAAATTAAAGGTACAGTGTTCTGCACTAATTTAAAGGCTCTCTGAAGCCTAGAAACCCTTTTTATATGTCATCTTCGTAGCGAAGAAATTCGCATCGAATCGAATTTCACACTGGAATTCGCCCGAATCAGCCGAATCGAATTTTTGAGAAATTCGCTCATCTCTAACTTTGATATCCCAGTAATATAAGATTTTATGTTATACACAGTTCTACATTTAAACTGTACATACAGTCTTTCATTTGCAGTATAGCAAATTTGATACATATTACATGCTTACAGTGCACTTCAATAGAATATTCTCCTTTGGATGATTCAGACTTCTCAGCAGTAATTATATGCAGAGGTAATCTGTTGGGTCCCCAGACTTTACCAAGTTTTAGTAAACTGAGAGCTGCGTATTCAAATTTCAAATGTTGGTAAATATGAGATCATGTCTTGTCAGTTCTAATAAAATTATACATGGTTTGTATGGATGTGATTCCCCTAAAACATACAGCAATGGGATAATACATTGCAGTGTATTTCCACTTTTGCTGCCAAACAGGGATAATACCTACTTTACATTTCTCACATCTTCTTATTCGCATAGCATAACTTAAAAAATACAGTTTACTTTTTTAGATGTTCTTTTTTTTTTTTTTTTTTTTTATTTCTCTATTTAGGACACACATACAGGGGAATATACATACATAAGGAACAATTCCCCAACACCAGCTGAAGCAAGTCTGCAACATAAGCACATAAAGCACAGGCAGAGTAATATCACACATGCAGGGGCGGACTGACAACTCATGGGGCCCCCCGGGCAATAGGGGATCATGGGGCCCCTGTGTCCTCGCCCAAACTCAAAAAAGCCTATGAAAAAGGTACCAGAGGCATCTCATGGGGCCCCCTACTGACCCCGGGCCCTCGGGCAGTGCCCGAGTTTCCAAATGGTCAGTCCGCCCCTGCACACATGTACATGGGAGGTATGTACAGGCCAACAATAGACAATCGCTGTAATACAATCTGTTGCCCTAACGTGGTAAAGGTCAGAGACCTAACAGATGACATACAGACATCTTGGAAATACGCATAAATCACCTGTACGGTCACTAATTTTAACATTTTATAAAAATGGCTACAGAAAAAAGAGATGGGGGGGGGAGTTATTTTAGATCAAGGGAAGGAAAGAAAGAAAGGGAAGGAAGAAAGAAAAGAGAGGACAGGAAGGAAGAATAGAAAGGGAAGACAGGAAAGGAAGGGGAGGAAGCAAAGAAAGAAGGGAAGGAAGGAATGAGGAAAGGACAAAAGGGGGGAAGGAAGGAAAAGAGAAAAGGAAGGGGGGAGACTTCACTTCGGCAGGCTGAACCGTTCCTCTTCTTCCTGGGCTTCAAACTTCTTGTGCGCAGGGAAGATAGAGGAGCAGAGGGAGGGGAGGGAGGAGGAGGAGTAGCAGAAGCAGTTCTCTCTTCCAACCGTGTGCGGGGGGCAGAAAATGTCAGCACGGAGCAGAAGCAGCTCTCTTTCATCTCCTGTCTGTAGGGGGGGGAGGGACTGTCAATACTAACTCTGAGCTCAGGTGCAGTAGAGGAGTCCAACTCTTCATGTTCCTCCTTAATCCTTTGAATGCCTGTTTCTCCTCTCCTATAGGCATTCAGCGGATGCAGGAGGAACATGGAGGATTGGTTCCTTTATATACAGTACCCCTCGCTGCTCCTCTCATCCACAGGGGCCCCCTTCAGCATGGGGCCAGGTGGCAAATGCGACCCCCTATGACCCCTGTAGCTACTCCCCTCGTTGGACAGCAGTACTTGGTTCACCTGTAGTGACACTTAGAGGTGTAAATAATTTTTAACATTTCAGT